GCGTGTCGAGTCACGTGCCGTGGGCGGGAGGGGGCTGGGGCGCGGGAGGCGAGGGCGCGGTGACGCACGCGTCCGGAGGGCCTGGCGCCCGCGGGGGCGAGGGGCGAGGGGGCGTGTGCCCCAGGCAGAGCTCGGTCGTGCTGGGTGTCGGGGCCGCATCTGGTGGGGTTCGTGGGAGTTGATGCTGGGTGAGCCGTGTTCGGACGTGGGTGTGAATCCCACAGCACTTCGAGTTCGTCGTCACAGCATCTAGGCGAGCCTCGTCCAACCCGGCAGAAGCGGCCCGGCCTGCGCGGATTCGGTGGAGCAAGACCTTACAGGCGTATTTCTGTGGGCACATATGTGTGTGGTTCTTAATCCTGGCTGTCCATCATGTGACACTGGAGAGGCCTCGCTATGGAAACTTAAAGGGGCTCCCACGTGACACGTATGTGGTTCTTAATCCTGGCTGCAAATTATAAACAACTTGAGAGTCATAGAAAGAACTCCGTTGCCTGGCTCAGCGCCAGACCAGTTGAACCCAAATCCAAATAGGGCCTGGACATAGAGTATTTAGGAAAAAAAATCTCCCTCTGTATTTTTGACGCACAGTGAGGGGCGAGAACTTACAGAGGTAGCCAGCTTGATGGAATCATTGGTTGTGAAACCATCCCTCGTTAGGGATGAGCTAGTAAAAATAGCAGACGTAGTTAACACGCATTGATCTGTCACTAGAAGGGTCACTGTGTGTCGGCATGGTGGCTACGCAGGTAGGGATACTTGATGAAATATTGGCATCTCAATTTTACAGTGGGGAAATTGAAATTCGGGAGGAAAAGTAAAAGTTGGTCAGTGACGATCTGTGACCAGTACCCAGGGAGGCTGCCTTCAGACCTCCTGCTTCGGACTGTGGCACATGCTGCACTGGAATTATGACTTTACCAAAGGGCCACATATTTGTGCAAATAGGAATCCTTCTCAGTTTGCCTACCAGCCTGTGAGTTTACCTGCGTGTATTTATGCATGTACTTTTACTTGCAAAGTTTTGCTTGTATTGAAGGGAGGAGAATCACTTGGTGAATTCGTTAAGGCCTGTAGGCTACTAACGTTTACATGAAGTTTATTGTGGGGCGAGGGGGATCCCGGTACTGTGAAGAGAACAGATGCTATGCAAGTTTTTTGTTTTGTTTTTGTTTTGAGATCTGAGTATAGGGGTAAAGTGAAGTGCCCAGAAGTTGCAGGCATCTTCCGAAGATTTACATGAGCAGCCACAGAAGTCTTTCAGGTTCCTACTAATGATTGTTGTCTAGTGTTGTTAGCTGTGTAGCAGGCAGAGGCTATTACCAAGTTTTAGGGATTGGTTTTCACGTAGCTTGCAGTTTGGGTGAGGAAAGTTTACAGACCCACGGAGGCGAGCCTGACACAGACGTGAGTGCTGTAGGTCTGGCATGGAAATCTTCTCCCTCCTCTGTCATCCCCATCTTTCTTAATCGGGCATTGCCACTTTTGTCGAGCATTGCCTAACCACTTGGGGTTCCTTTGCACAGCTCTGCCTACGTGGTTCCTCTGCTTCTTGAGTTTCTTCTTTAGGAAATTTCCCTTGGTTTCCCCTCAGCAAACACTTAAATACCCTCCCTGTGTCACCGCTATGTTTTGTACTTACTTGCGTCACTGCATTTATTACAACATGTCATGTCGTTTTGTTCACACGTTGGTTGGACACTCTTAGTAAATTCAGCTTGTCAAAGGTGGGAGGGGTGATTGTTTACCTGTATATTACTGGAACCCAGTAGGCACTTAAGTTTGCTGCATCGGTCTGAATTGAATTCGTGTTGTGTTATATGTGGTGTTCGCCTGTGTCACCCGCCTTCATTCTTTACTGTCTTCACCTCTGCTCCTAGCTTTTAGGCTCGAAGCACGCATCCTTGGACAGAGAATACAGCCACATTGTAAGAGGAATAGGAAGGAAAGGGCAAAATGTAATCAACTTTTCCCTTGTTTCCCAGTTTCATTCCCAGTTGGCCAGTTGGACGGCGTGAATTTTCTTGGTTACTTCTGTACCCTGGGACAGATGCTCCACATTATCACTTTTCAGCTTGTTTAGGAAGGAAGAAGCGACATTGCATTACAGATGGACATATTTTACACGCCATCGCAGAGTACAGATGCTTAATCACATTTCATTACACTGTAATTTTCAGATTTAGCGTTGCAGTGTATTTGTTGAGCAGCACTGTCCTGTAGAGCTTTCTGAGATGATGGAAATGATTTATAATGACTTGAAGTGATAGCCACTAGCCACTTGGGCAGCTTAAATGTGGCTAGTGTGACCTAGGAACTGGTTATTTACTTGAATTCAGTGTAAATAGCCACCACTGGCAAGGGGTGTTGTGTCGGACAGCACAGTTATGGAGGATTGCCTGTGGTTAAGTCTAGTACTTGCCAGGTAAATGTTTAGGTTAAGGTTATTCTGCCTTTAAAAGAAAAACTTTGATTCATTTTCTAGGGCCTGACACTGTGCTTCCCATTTAGAGATTCTAAGGTGTTTACTGAGTGATATTTTGGACCCATGTGAGGCCTTCATATTGTAGAGCATTGGTCTGTGTGTTCTGTGAACTTTTCATGTAATTCATGAGGTCTTCTTTTTTTTTTTTAGAAGCAGAATGGATTGATTATTAATAATTATAATTAGGAGTAGTTATAAGTCCAATGGATTTGAGCCCTTGGCCTGTAAATTAAATGGAAGTCCCTTAAGTTTAATCACTATTCTCTGATACCTGGTGAAGAGCAGGCTCTGCATTTGTCTTGCTGGCCAGTGTATCCCCAGTGCCTCATACAATGCCTGACACATAGCAAGTGCTTATAATTATTTGTTGAATGAATGAATGTTCAAGTAATTTAACCCCTCTAACTTAGCTTCAGAAGGTATATTGTAGAGCTGGAGAGGGGGCTGAGTAGCACTAACTACCCTGAATTTACTGTTCTTCCAAGGAATGCAGTCTTTCCAGGGGCACTGTTCTTAGCTCAGTGAGCTTGATTTCTTCCCTGTAAGATACGTAGCAGGACTTCTTACCCTTTATTAATAACAGAAAAATAAAGTCACGAGAAGATTTGGGGCTCAGGTCACAGAAGGGGAATTGGAAGTGTAAATCAAATTGAAGGAGTTACTTATATTGCCTTGTGCACTTGTCCAGGATTCTTCTTCAAAGAACTAAAATCACGCACTGAGCTATGTTAGAAAATTTGGTTTATAAAATGGAAGGTGATTATGTATGTTAATAGAGTCTGAAGAGAATTCTGAAAATATATCTAGTATGGCATGATGTAACAGGAAAAACAGGAATGGAAACATTATTTCTTAAATCTCTAAATCTCAGTCTGTGGCAATCCTAACACCCAAGTTATAAATTTCTGAAATGGGATACTTAAAAATGTAAATAGAAACAGATGTATAGTGGTGCAGATAACCACTACTAGACTTTGAAATATTTATGTAGAAAGGTACCATATACATCAAACATCTGTTCAGAAGGAGAGCCCTAAGGCCAGAAATTGTAGATTTCATTTCATGTGGTAGGTGCTGTATTGGTGGGTTGATGCGGAGCCCGGTATGTGGTCGGATGCTTGTGGAAGGCGGTGAGGCTGCTCTCTGCTTTGCATCACTCACCTGCCTCGTGGTGTGATGCGTGGCTGGATTACAGACAGGCTTGTCCTCATGCCTGGGACGCAGGCTAGCTTCCTGTCGTTGTGCTAGTATGTGTTTCACACTAGCAGAAGGAAAACATAATTGAAAACGTCAATCTGTTGTTTAAAAAAAAAAAATCACATGATACATTCCAAGATAAAATGTAAAGTTTCTTGTTTGGGGGGTGGGGTGGGGAGGGTTACTTTCTCTTTTAGCAATTTCTGGCCTCTTAATCCTTTAGGATTGCTCTTCACATGGTGTGAACGTTGGTGGTGGTGGTGGTGGTGGGAGGAAACCCCAAAACTGTCAACCGCATGTCCCATAAATTCCCGCTGTTTACCCTCAAAACCAAACCAAAATATGACCCTAACAAGACAAAACCCACCTCTGCTGTCGGCAACAAAAGTTAACAATTAAATAAAAAAGTCTGGGAGATTTGAGTTGTGGAGACGTCAGTAATGTGAAAGGTTTTTTTTAGGTATTAACTATAAATTACTCAAGACAAAAGAATTTATATGTGTCTATGTAGCAATAATGTAAGAGTTCATATTGCAGAAGATCAAATGTATTTGGCTAGAAGATCATGTGAGACTCCTTGGACTCAGATGTATAGTTAAAGAATCATTTTAGGTGTATTGAGAACTGTCTCTAGTGACGTTGGTCCCTAACTTGGTGTAAGAATTGAAGGAAGTTACTGGCTCCATTTCTTTCTCCTCAGTGGAGTGGGTGGATCAGATCAGTGAGCGGTCGCGTAGGATCACCGAGATTGCCGGACCCCAGCCCAGAGTTTCTGACTCAGCGGGTCTAGGGTGGGCCTGATGATCTGCATTTTTTTTGCAGGTTTCTAGGAGTTGCTGAAGCTGGTCAGAGGACCATATTTTGAGAACCACTGGATCAGATCATTTCTCCTAAAGTTTTATAAAGTGTTTGTGCCCATTTTCCCCCTTCTGCAGTGGAAGCACCTACCCTTTGATTTCTACAACCTCGCGTCACTTAAAGATTGCCCTATGGCAAACTGAGTTGTAAAAGTTTAAAATGGAATTGAATTAATTGTATTTTGAGAGTTTCTGGAGAATTCCAGATATTTTGCAAAACCTTTGGGTCTGTTAAAACCCAGGATTGGGTATACTTACCCAATAGTCAAGGTCTCCAGTTAACGGTATATTGAAATATTCCTCATTTTTTTTTTAAAGATTTTATTTATTTATTTGACAGAGAGGGACACAGCGAGAGAGGGAGCACAAGCAGGGGGAGCGAGAGAGGGAGAAGTAGGCTTCCTGATGAGCAGGGAGCCTGATGCGGGGCTCGATCCCAGGACCCTGGGATCATGACCTGAGCTGAAGCAGACGCTCAACGACTGAGCCACCCAGGCGCCCCTCCTCATGTTATTAAAGAACTATTCACTGTTTTTTAAACCCGAATGTTCTATCAGATCTAATCGAGTGCCTTGTAATAGACAGCTCCAGGATGCGTATTACATAGTTGGGAGCTCATTAAATAAAATGGTGTTTATGAGATGTAGTTCCTTTTCCTAGTTAGGATTCTGTGGGTTTGGGTTCATAGTAGACTGATAGTGTGAACCTGGACATCCTCTGAAGGGATCTGCTTTGCAGAAGAGGTACGGTTGCAGGAAGGAGATGCCCATCACGGGGATGAAAAGTAAGTTGTCACAGCTCGGCCACTCCCGGTTTTGAGAACTTTGGGGAAGAGTAGAGGCTCTGCAGTTGTAAATGAAGGGCCTTTTGGGACGGAATCTGGCAGGAAGGGGCTGTGGAGATAGTAGATGTCCTAAAGCAGCCCTTGCAGAGCAAGCACACTGTTCTTACCCAGCGTGTGTTGTCTATTTTGATGGTGGGAGGGAGTAGAGAGGGGGGCTGTGGGGAGGGGTTCGTGGAGATTCTAAGGCAATCTAACAGGTGGTGCTCTGGAATCCTTTCAGATGAAACTAGACTCCCAGGTGCCAGGAGTCAGATGGACTCAAGGTCCGAGGTGAGTGGAAGTGAGGTTTGACAATACATTCTAATGTGAGTGAATTTATTGGAGAAGACAGAAGAGCAAGATTTTTTGGGGGAAAAAATCTTAGAGCAAGAAGACATAAAAAAGAAATGGGTGAGGAATAGGGAGTGGGAGGGTAAAAATGAAAGGTTTTAAGTTTTTAAACTGTTCTGAAACTTTCTGTGTGCATTGACTAGTTAATAGCAGAGGCTTTGTTAGAAAATAAATTAACGAGTTTTCCTTTTCATTTCCGGTGAATACATCAAAATATCACCAGATGCTGTTATTTGACTCACATCCCGTGCCTTTCCAAAGTTACGCCCAGGATCCATGCAGTGCTTGCTTCTTTAGATGGCTTTATGATCGTTAACTTGTTTAAATCAGATTCCTGGAAGGCGCACACAGTGTTTATTACTGGATGTGTTTTATGGATTAGGAAACAAATCATTTGTGTAGCACAGGCCACAAATCTGGGCTGAGGCCATGAGATCTCACTGCTTTCCATATCTACTGGTTTTAATTTTTATCTGGAAATTCTCTATTTTCTAACTGCTTTTAAAAATGACTGAACCTTAAATTTTAAAGTTGAGTCAGCACCCGTATAATTGATTTTAGACTATATTTCATGGAAAGGGCCTTAGATTTTGGTCTGTTTATTTCTTTGAAAGGGACTGCATGTGATTTGCTGCTAGTCATTTCTTGACTCAAATATCTGTGACATAATCTTCGTAACTAAATCTGTGAAACTGGTTTGAATTCTTTAGACTTGATGGTTTGAGGCTGGGGTTGGCAGTCTGTATGACAGGAGTTCTGGGGGTGGCCCTTGGGCTAGTTTTCACCAAGCAGCCGTGGGAGATGGGAGGTGCTGCTGTATGATCCTGTGCTACCCCTCCCCCGGACCCTAGGACCTTTTAAAAGCCTGCAGTGCTTTAGGGAGTTTAAGACACTTAATACTTTTTCTCATATTTAATCACATTGACACAGGGCAACATCTTTCTTTGTCCTTCCCACATCTCTTGAGTTTCCTTTCTTCCAACTTGTGTCATTTCTGTTTCTTTTCACAGCCAGCAAGGCATCTAGCTTCTTAGGCTGGCTTCTGGTTGCCCCCCCCGCCCCCGGATTTCCTTCATGATCCTGCCTCTACATTTTTCTGTTCTTCCGTGTCCCGTCGGTTCTCGCTTTGTGCTATGGCTGATTTGATTTAGTTTGGTGGAAAGGGCATTAAGGTAGAGCAATGTTAATAACTGTAAGAATGATTAATGGGTACTTGCCTGATTGGAGACTGTGCTAAGTGCTTCATATTCTTTCCACTGGATGCTAGTTCCTACGAGCTACAGAACCTTGGGAGAGTGTCCAGCTCTGGGCCATAGGCTGCTCATCTGGAAAATGGGGGACTTGGTGGAGTAAGTAAAGTGTTTCTGGCCCTAAAATGCTGTGATTTGAGTTTATTCACGTTGTGGTATGATTGTCAGTCCTCGTGAGACTTGAGCTTTTTGAAAGGTACCTGTTCATCGAGACTGGGGTCCCAATGTAGGGGTGTTGCTTCTCAGCCCCAGGATGCGGAGACCCAGGACTCCTTATTTTAGACTACCTTGCAGTGTGGCTGGCTTTCTTTTTCCTTCAGAAGCTTAGGGATGTGTCTCAAGGGCACCCTTCTCCATACTTGTGCTGTCTACATCAGGACACCTGAAAACTGAACCTGAACACTGCACTTTGGAAAGGTTGTTGACCCCAATTTGGAAGATTTTGCTGCTTTTCATCTCCGTGTTGGAGGCCCTGGGCTTCTAAAGACATCCCTTCCTTGATGGTTCCCTAGAGGAGTTTCTGGGAACCTGCTTAATTCTTCTGTTAATTCTTGAACAGCTCGTAAAAAAATGCTACCTCAGATCCTTCTCTTGCAAAGTTGTACATGGTGTGTGACCTTGAGTGCTTGTTTCCTACTTCTAGGGGAATTTTTGTTAGTGCTCAGTCTCTCGGTCGTGTTCATAATGACGCCAAGCTACTTATCTGTTCATTGTCAAGGCCACTGACAGTTGTTTTGCTTTCTGCTTTTACACTGATGCATCATGCATTCATTGCACGTACTGTCCATTTTCTAAAAGTCTATGATTATCTTTTTTGTTTCTTTATGTTTTCAGAGAGATTAATCATCGCTATGCTAGGAACACTTACTTAATCAGCTTTGTCTCTAGTGTTGCTCATATTCCTTCCGCTTTTCCGATATTTTTTTTTTTTAGTTTTTCAAAATTGTATAATACCTAATTCTTACAGGCTCTATCCCAAAAGAATTTGTGATGACTCTTCCATTTTTAGGGATTATTGCCTGAAAATGCAGGTATTTGATAGCAACAAGCGAAAAATATTTTTAAATAGAATGCCATATATAGCCTTTCTTTAGGTTTTATCTTTGAAATCTGTGGTCTGTTTTATGCCTTTTAGTTAGTTTGTGAACAGTCACTGTGCTTGCTGTGTTTGTAAGCTTCTCCTTTTTTCGAGACCAAAGATATCAAAATTGTACTTTTCTCTCACTCTTAAAGGGTTCAAAATTAAGATTCCTTCTGCTACTAATTTAATTCTTCTGAAAAGGTACATAGGAGTTTGCTCTTTGCCATTTATCTTCGTCACTGTGTAACTAGCAGTTTGGAACAGGACTTGATAGGTTTAATGAATCAGTACCTTATTTAGTCATTTCCTGTCATCTACAGAATATTTTTCAGTAGCAGATCATTTGCGATTGTAAACAACAGAAATATCCCAACAACAGATTTGGTTTAAAAAGATTTTATCCGTGTAAGAAATCATGCCTTATCGTAGCTGAAGAACATGTGCTCCTGTGTGTGTGTGTGTGTGTGTGTGTGTTGTGGGGGAGGGTGATGGTGTGATATCCTGGCTTATCCTGGGCTCGTTCTGTGTCTGGTGGTCCCAGCCCCTTAACCCAGGAAGGGCCCAGCATTGTGGGAGGACGTTGGCAGTCAGACTCTGAGAGTGACTGGAAACGCCCTTCTTCTTACTGCATTTTGTTCTTGTTTTTGCAGAGTACTAGTTGTTGGAAAACACTGAATTGCAATTGTATAAATATACGTAGTACTTGCTAAACCGTCGTCTTGGCTCATTGTGCTCTTTTCGAGTGAAGGGATCTAAGCTCCGGAAAGATTACTTACTCATCAGGAACAGGTCAGGTCCTGGACATTCCTGGTAAAGTCCAGTGTATTTTGGATTGCAGCACTTTCTGTGTTACTTTTCATGCATTGGAATCCTCCTAATCCTGAACCTAGACTCTAGGAGCAGACCCAAGTAAATATGTCCTCGCTGGGCTAAACCAAAGAAAACAAGCGATGCTTAAAGATGTCTGGCACCTCTCGGCAAGTTTTGTGTGTTGCGAGCACACCATGGCCCTGGGTATCCTGATGATCCATTTTGGGCCATTCCTCTCTCCTTGTTCATTCTCTTTTCTTTCTGTGTTCTTTACTCTTTCCACTTCTCCCCCCCACCCCTTTTTTTTTCTTTTTTCCATTTTGGGTTCTTTTTTCCTCTGTTCTATGTTTCCCTTTGCCATTCCTGCTATGGATAGCCTAGTAACACCCTGAAGTTATTGCAGGCATTTTTTTTTTTTTTTAGCCTGACTAATGGCAGCCCAGAGCTAAATACAGGTTTTCCTCTGATAAGATTCTGTGCTGGTGCAAACTATCTCTAAAGAGTTTAATGTTTATATCGCATATTCCATGTTGAATGGAAAGTATGATGTGAAATATATTTCACATGGATGTTTAAGTTTTGTGCCTAAAGGACATTCTGCCAACATTTAGGTAATAGTAATCACATAGATAATGAACTTCAGGATTCTTTTTTATTTATGAAATTTCTGGTGAACAGTGATGATGCTTGGGTTAACGTAACATAATGATTTTAAATTGCTTAAGCTGTAACAAAGTTTGGTGTAAAAAATGTGAGAGTCAAGTGGGTATTAAATACATAACAGTTACTTATGCTATTCTTAAGGATCAGAGTATATTCTAGCTCTAGGGGCTTCAGAGCTAATTTAATTACTCTTCTTATTCTATGGATAAGGCAATTTACTTAATTTTACATGCCTGGTTAGTGGTATAGTTGACCAAAATTAGGTCTCCCACATTGCTATCCACTCTGCTTTTTTTGGACAGAACATTCGATTCATGAAGTTTCGAGGTGAAATGGGCAGAGAAGCCTGAGAAAGAGTATGTGCGTTCTAAGCCTAACTTACTTGAATTTATTAGTTATGAGATGAGGTGCTTAACCTCTCTGGATCCCAGTTTATGGATGGTTGTACTTTAAGGTCCCTTCCAGGGCTGTGACTTGTACTCCGGTGAGAAAAATGAAACAGATTTAGATTTTTCCTGTTGTGCATTTCTTCAGTTTCAGTTTGTGTCTTATTTTGAGTAGATAGCTTTGCTAGGTTTTTTTTTTTTTTAAGTAGGTAACATTTGTGTATTTTATTGTGAGTGAATCAGCTTTTCCAAAGTATATTGTCATTAGACACAGGTTGTTTTTCTTAATATAACGGCTGCTTCTGTGTGCAAGTGTTTCTAGCTTCAACTTGGTTAACTGACGTAAACACACATTTAGAGGCGGGTCCCCCCTAGTTTCAAACTGGTGGAGGGGTACCGCCATGTGGAATATTCCACAGAGAGAGAGCTGAGAGGTGCTTTATTCAAATTGTTCGTTGTTATTATAGTGTGAGAAAGTAATATCACATAGGGGCGCCCGGGTGGCTCAGTCAGTTAAGCGTCTGACTCTTGATTGGTCGTGATCTCAGGGTCATGAGATCGAGCCCCTGCATAGGGCTCCATGCTCAGTGGGGAGTCTGCTTGAGATTCTTTCCCTCTGTGCCCCCCCGCCCCCGCGCTTTCTCTCAAATAAATAAATAAATAAATAAATCTTTAAAGAAGAAAGCAGTGTCATATAAATAAGATTTAAGAGAATTTGGCTCTTCTGATTTCTAGAGTTGCTTTATTTGGGGTTGTGGAACAGGTTTTTCCATTCTTAGGATAATCTGGCCTTGTTTGTGTCAGAGAGAAGACAGTTGTGACAATCTGGGAGGATAGGAAAGATGAGAGGAATTTAAGCATTGGAGAAAAAGATGAGATTGGAGATGCTTTCCTAAGAGGAGTGTGACTGTGAGCTCTGAGCCCCTTCCCTCGTTGCTTAGCAGTAATGACCATGCCCCTCTTTGCTTTAAAGAAACCCATACTTTCTTTTTCTTTAAAGATTTTATTTATTTATTAGAGAGAGAGAGAGAGCACAAGCAGGGGGAGCTGCAGGCAGAGGCAGAGGGAGAAGCAGACTCCTCGCCCAGCAGGGAGCCTGATGCGGGGTTCCATCCCAGGACCCTGGGATCATGACCTGAGCTGAAGGCAGATGCTTAAACCACTGAGTCACCCAGGCGACCCCCCATACTTTTAATTAAACACTTTTGAACGCCTCTCACGTGCATTGTGTTGAGCTGGGTGCTGTGGGAATTAGAAGAATTATCCATAAGAGCTTCCTCCTCTAGATGTTTACCCTCCAACTGGGTCTCCAGTGCATAGACCATGCAATGAATGAGTGAATGTCTGAGTACCCCAAAGAGTGGTCCAGGCAGGAGAGAGAAGGGAGGAGGAGTGCAGCAGTAGGGAAGGACCCCAAGGAGCCGTGCAGTTGGAGCAGCTGGAGGATTGGTAGTTAAGGGAGAGTGTGCGGGGTTGCTGTTGGGCTAGGTTAGGACATAGGCTTGAGAGTTGGGAAATGACCATCGCATGTTTTAAAGTGGCAAATGAGGGGACCTATGAAAGTACCAGAGCCTTCTTACCCTATCTTTTTATCTTGAAAACTTCAAACCTTTAGAAAAAGAGTACTGTAAATACTCATATGTCCTTGTAGATTAATCAGTTGTTAACATCTTGCGGTGCCTTCTCTCATGCTCAGTGTATGTGTGTGTTTTGAATCAAATGTGGTATGTACATTTATAATATTTGGACCACTTGACTATAAGTTGCAGATACCATGGCATTTCACCTCTAAATACCTGCAAAAGAGGACTTTCTTCTGTATAACCACAACACAATTATCACACCTAAGAAGTTTAGCATTGATATAATACCATGGTCTAATAAAAAGAATATATTTAAATTTGGGAGTGGAATGTGTATTTATTTTTGTTTTTAAAATCAGGAAGACTTGTCTGGCACAATGTGTATTGAATGAATTGGTGGGACAAGAGACTAGAGCCACGGAAACTGGTTTGTATATATTTAAAACGTCACATAGAGGGGCACCTGGGTGACTCAGTCGGTTAAGTGTCCAGCTCTTGATTTCGGCTCAGGTCATGATCTCAGGGTTTTGAGATGGAGTCTCAAATCTGGCTCTTCACTCAGCAGGGAGTCTGCTTGAGATTCTCTCTCCCTCTGCCCCTCCCCCAGCTCGCACACACGCATGTTTTCTCTCTCTAGATGAATAAATAAAATCTTCTAAAAAATAAAAAAATTAAAAGTCACGTATAGTCATGAAAACAGAGGAAATTCATTATATTCTGATATACTATATTCTTGAATACAATTTTTAATATATACTTGATACAATCTTAAACAAGGCATAAGAGAGTATAAAAAAGAGAATTTATAAATAGTTACACACATACAGACATATAATATCTCTGGACGGATAGAAAATGGACCATAACATTTCATGCCTCGAAAAGAAGGAAGCAAGCAGCTGGAGGATAGGGAGATGTTCCCCTCAATATCCTCTTTTACTTTTGAAGTTTGAATTGTTTGAAATTCAAAAATAAAAACTAAGAAGCAAGCTGGCCTTAACGTGTTGGTACTATTAGCTTAGTAGTGTGTAGGGTAATGCTTCTCTTTATGTCCTGAAGAAATTTGGAGACTGAGACCTGAAACAAAGAGGATGGAGGAAACTTTGTATCTTTCCAGTTTTGAAGGGAAATCTGCTGTTGTGCCATTTAATGGGAAAGGGTTTTTTTCATGACGCGAGAAGGCATGTTTTCAGGAGCTGCTGGTGCAGAGAAGAGGGACTTGGGTGGGGTCTGATATCCAGGGAGTCTGCATTGCACAGAGGAGAGCACCGAGGAAGATAGGGTAGGAGTTTGTATATCCCTCTTGGAGTAAAGGAGACTATTTCCTGCCTCTAAGAATGAGAAACTGGAAGATAATTTTGTAGTTTGCTTCTGTAGAAAAGTACAGAAGATGGCAGAGGGGACTTAGAATTTGCATTGCATATATATATATATATATGCTACCTTTGATGATTAAAGGTAAGTGTGTTTAAAAAGCTGCTAAGAGAAAATGAGCATTTAAGAGTAATGTCTGGCTTTCTTCTTGATTTGTTTTTAAAGAGAGATTCTTGAAGATTATAAGAAGGTTAAAAGAACCTTATTGAGTAAATAGCAGAAATCTATGTTATTAGTAAATTATTTCCATTTGATAGCAATTTGATTATTTCGTGTGATGATTTTTATGTAATTACATAGTGAACTTGTGTGATGTTTATCCTTAAAAAACAACTTTTTCACAGTGTTTTGAATTAAGTTGCATGAAAGGTTAAAATCAATTTCGGAGTTGATGCAGCCACAGTTTATTTTCTGTTGTTGTATGATTAACACAAAGTTATTGATTAGTACTTAGTGCCTTTTCTTTTGAAGGCCGGTGTTTATTATCAGCGAGTGTTGAATTGCTCCCAGTGTCCATTAGGCATCCTGTGGTTAATAGAGACAGATAGCCTGCCCTTGATAGATGCTTCTGGAAAGTTAAAGTTTCCACAGTGGTAGTTAAATTCCCGTCAGGGAGGGAAGCTGCTGATGGCCGGGACAGGCCTTCGGAGAGGAGGGGAACTCCGCACTGTTGAATCAGGCACCTAGGGTGCGACTTTGCAGGTGAACAAATCTGATTTTATCAGTTCGTTCGGAGTCCATGGGGCTTGTGAGACTGAGTGATGCCGGCCAGCCGAGCTAAGCAAGCTTATGGCCGACTGAACACCCCGTGTGTTAATTTGCAGTGGGAGATGTACTGTGGCCACCTGTAGACTTGTTGAAAGGATAACCTTTGGATCATAACTTTACTTGGTGAACACAGAAATAAGATGGGGACAAATTGGATATCTTCAGCTGATACTTCATCAAGTCATTGGAATTTGATAGAGGACTTTTTGCACCCCAGAGGCTATTCTGCTTAAAGCCTGGGGCCTAAAATTAGAGCTCCTTTACTACAGTGTGGTGCTGGATAAATGGGAAGAATTCTTTTCCAGTTCCCTTGCTAATCAGTTGGCCCCATTGCCTTATGCCGGGTAGGTTCCAATACAGTGGGGACGTAATATAATAATAACGATTGCTTAGCATGTGTGGGGCATCTTGCTGAAGTGTTTTTCTTCTCTTATTCCCTTAACCCCATGATAGCCCTAGGAAATAGGTACTGTTATCCTTCCCACTTTATAGATGAGAAAATACAAAGTTCAGGAAAGCTTAGGGCTTAGAGCCCAGCTTCTAAGCCAGGTAGCCTGACTCTCGAAAAGCTTTAGCCACACGTGATAGAATTTCTTTTGTACATTTCAGCTTCTTTCCAGTTGTGTTTTCCTTAGAATATAGGGTGATCATTTTGAGACAACCTTCTCTGAACGCTTAGGAAATAACAGTTTCTGTGAAAATGTTTAAGCAGTAACTCTTAGGGTAGGTTCTTTTTTTTTTTGAATGCTGATCTTGATCTACTTGTAATTTTGAGTAGTTTCATTTAGAGAATGGACCATTAAAAATTAAAAAGGTTGCAGAAAAACCCCAAAGATAATGCAAAGAACAGCTCTTTTTAGATTCACCTACTAACATTTTTCCCTGTTTACATTTGTGCATATTTTCTTGCTCTCTATATTTATATGTGTGTTACACATGTTTTTTCTGAGTCATTTGGGATGTTACATATTGCGTGGCCCTTTATCTCTAAATATTTCAGTGGGGATTTCCTAAGAACAGAGATTTCTGCTTACATACAGCTACTACTCCATAAATTTATACTGTTAAAATATTATCATCGAATCTGCTATGCATATTGCGATTTTATCAGTTGTCCTATTAAGGTCCTTTATAACATTTTTTCCTGTGGTATGAGATCCAGGCTAGGGTTATATATCCTCTTTAGTTGTCATATCTGTTTAATATCCTTTCATGTGGAATATTTCCACCATTTTTCTTTGTCTTTTATCAGATTGACATTTTTGAAGAATATAATCATACCTGTCCTTTTTTTTTTTTTTTAATAATAGAAATTTCCTCATTTTGTTTGTCTGATGTTTCCTCATCTTTAGAATCAGGTTATGCATAATAGGCCAGAACTTACTTTTTCCCCTCCTTAATAAGTTTATTCTTTCTCAAAGTCAGGAAATTAACACTCATATAATAATATTATCTAAGTACAGACCTTCGTCAGATTCCGTCAATTATTCCCAAAATGTCTTTAGGGTAAGAAAATACCAGATCATATGTTACATCTAGACTTAATTTTATCTGGAACAGTTTCTCAGGCTGAATTTCATGGCATGAACGTTTTTGAAGAGGATTAGCCAGTTATTTCTAGAATGTCCTTCAATGTTGTTTTGTTTGAAGTTTCCTCACGGTTAGATTCAGGTTTTGCACTTTTGGCAGAAATGCCGCACGAGGGACATTGTGTTCTCAGCACATCATATTTGGAGTCACACGATGTCTGTTTGTCCCGCAGCTGGTGATATTAATTTTGATTACTTGGTTAAGGTTTGGTCTGCCAGGTCTGCCCCGTGTAAAGTTACTCTTTCCCCCTTTACAGACAATTACTGTCTTGTGGAGTGATGTTTTTAGTTCACGTCCTAATGACTCCTCAAACTTTTACTCATAGGCTTCAGAATTATTGGGTTATTCTTTTTTTTTTTTTAAGATTTTATTTATTTGACAGAGTGAGAGAGCACAAGCAGGGGGAACAGTAGAGGGGGAGGGAGAAGCAGGCTCCCCGCCAAGCAGGGAGCCCGACGTGGGGCTCCATCCCAGGACCCTGGGATCCTGACCTGAGCCGAAGGCAGACGCTTAACCATCTGATTGCCTGAATCGGCTATTCTTATGAAGTTTGCCCAGTAACGATTTAAAATGCCATCATTCCCTCTTCATTCATTTATTGGTTTTCTCCCACAAAGAAGAGTGTTCCCTTAGCTCTTATTTATTTATATTGGTGTTGATTCATGGATTTGTACTTGATTCTTGTTTTATTATCATTACTGATTTTGATGCTCAAATTGTCCTGGATTTGGGCCAGTGGGAGCCGCCTGAGGCTGGTGTCTGTGCGCTGTTGACACGTCCCCATCATTGTTTGACACATCCTTACTTTGTGGCACAGAAGAGTCTTCCTTGTGAACTTTCTCTGCCTGCACCCTGGAAGTAAGTGGTCACTTCATGTCTCCATTCTTCTTGTATGAGAATACCTCTGTCTCCAAAGCCTCGCCAAGAGTGACTTTTTATAACTGTTTAATTTTTGCCAATCTGATGGGTGAGAAATAGCAACTCAGTGTCGTTTTAATTTCTCTTTATGAGTGAAATTGGGCATCTTTTCATATGTTTAAGTGGTATATGTGTGTATGTATATGTGTGTATGTGTGTGTGTTCATGTTTTTGGTCCATGTTTCTGTCCTAAGTTACTGGTATTCACTTTTTCAATTTTAAGAGTTCTTTATATATTATGAATATTATCTCTTTATCTGTGATACAATGCAAATATTTTCTCTCATTTTATCTGTTGCCTTTGGTTAATGATTTTTTTTCTTGCCATGCAGATTTTATTAAAAATTTTCATGTAATCACATTATTAGTCTTTTCTTGTACTTTTCCTGATTTTGAGACACAGCATGCTTTTCCTTATTTAGGAGTTAGAGAAGGTTCACCATTTTTTCCTCTGTAGTACTTGTATGGCTTCATTGTTTTACAGTTAGATCCCTGATTCATTTGGAGTCTATTCTTGTGTATGGTAAGAAGTATGGATCTAATTTTATCTTTTTCCAGTTGGCTAACCAATTGTTTTAACCATTTATTAAAAGTCAGTTTTTGCCCCAGTGATTTTTAGATGCTCTGTTTTGTTGTTGTTTTTTTAAAAATTATTTATTTATTTATTTTTAAG